ATCGCGAACCGTAGTTCCAGAAAGAATTAATTTTATATGGCCCCCTAAATAGGAGATGGGGACAGGGACGTCCCACCCCGCTGACTAAAGTGCTCGTGTGCACAATGAAGGATACATATTCCCTGCCGTCAACTGGAGGAGTTGCAGTAATTCGCTAGGGAACCGACTGAGATTTTGAACGGGCAAAAATTTCTAGCAGGATTTCGAGGGGAATGGATGTCAGTAGTTCGGGTTCGGTTGCGTTACCGCAATGCCACCGTCGAATCTGGTTGCAGTGAAGAACCAAATTGTCATCATAAACGTGCACGTTGAACAACATACTGCTTCTGTACGTTATTACCCTCATCCAAATAAAGTCTGGAAAACCGGTTCGATAATGGCGAAAAAAGACGGGTTTTTCTACGGCAAGCTTGCTTCGAGAGACAGCTAAAGCTGGCTGCACATCTGACCTTAGAATGCCGAGGTAGTTGATTAAAAGATAATCTGCATTAACGGGCTCATGCCATGCCGATTGAGATTGGCAGTATGCGTCACATGAGGTCATGCACGGATCTATGTTGACTGGGGATGGAAACGACACTTCCACCTCGCATTTGAGCAACGCGTTTGCAGTCCACGCGCTAGGATGCAAATCGTGTTCTCATAGGTCGATGGGCGTAATATGTAGCTTCTTTTGCGAATCTGCCTTCCTTGTCCTTTTTATCAAACCATCAAGCTGGGGCCTGAAGACGTATTACAATCGGTTAAACTCCATTGAAGACACCAGTATACATCGCAATCTTTCTGAGACCGGAAGAACCAACGAGTAATTCGCAGTACGACTAATTTTATGAAGTACACAAATCTTGGTCTTGGATAGAAATCTCCAACTTGATACCCGTTATCAGGCTTAAAGTGAAGCTTCATCCTTATGGGGAAGGCATAGAATTTCGAAATGTTTCAGATGTGACAAGCCTCAATTTATATTTATATACTGAACTCTTATCAGTGTATTTTTATATTTTATTAATATTTTTACATTAACTTATGCAGGCCATCCCTCGCGAGTGAGTTATGCGATCACTGCTGATGCTATGTAAGTCACATTCATTTTTGTTAGTTTAAACTCTTTCTCATCCAGCCTTGTTGACGGTCGTGAAAATAAGCTGATGCTCTTAGTTCTCTTAATGATAGCCGATAAAAAATATCCTTTTTTCGTGACATATATAATTTCGGTGTGTTACCGGCAGGAATTCGAATCACAGTCAAAGCGCTACAGGCAGAATACTAAATGCGCAGTTTTAAGATGCAAATAAGATACCTATCACATTCATATGAAAGGTCTGTTCTGATTGCGATGCGCGATACCACGGTGATTCTCTTCTGGCCGGACAAGTTGGCCCAGAACCGGCGCAGAAACCCGCGCAGTAAAAAATCAATAAACGATCAAGGCATGCGGTTCTGAGGCCGGAGACTTGGTTTGAGTTTCTGGAAGGCTTTTTATCCGCCAGCCATAGCCGATCTTGAGCCCGGAGAGACTTAAAATTGTAATACGGATCAGCTGATTTCTGGGCGCTTGCGTTACTCATTCTGTCATGCCCAAGGGACCCCTTCCAGTTGACTGCAATCATAAATGCTCATAATCTCAACGGGGTACCCTGATTGCCCGGTGTCGGTGTTATTTTACCTTGGAGCTGCGTTCCCGAACAGAAACACGACACCGAAATCTTAACGGTCTTTTAATATGAATAACAGCAATCGGGTTAGAAACGACCATTTCAGTTCGGCCTTCACGATAACAGCTACTCAAACTAGCAGAAATTGGTTTTTGGATTTTAATTATGTGAATTGATTCCACAGTCAATGATGTTTTAAAGGTAGCCAATTAATTCAGAGGCTCCAACTTTCACTCGTACATTTTTAATATCCACACATTCCTCTTTAACAGCCTTTTGAAACATCTCTGCCTCTCAATTATAGTCAATCCAGAACAACCGACTCGGGGGAGTCGCGGCTTTCCTACGCCAAAATGTTGGCGACAACATCTCAGCTTTTTGAAAAGGTGGAAGAAGCCTGGCGATGCTGCGATGCCGAACTCACGGACATCGTTCGACGTTGGCTTGCTGTGCATGGGTTTCCAGAGGGACACCGGAGCCTTAGATTCCCCGAGGACTTCAGAAGGTTCGTACTCAATATCAAAGTATAGGTTCCAAATTGAAGTCGAGGTTGTGATTAGCGTTTTAGGCCGTCTTACTTTTCCCTCATAAAGTGATTGAATAGTATACTTTCGAAAAACGTTTTGCTTTAGTGATTTTTGCGAATAGTGGAGAATATGCGAGTTTCGGTAAGCAGTTCAGAAGAAGATGCAATCAGTGGAACAAGAGTTTTATTTTTCTGACTTTTCAGATTCCTTCGGAAATCCTTAACCATACGTGATGGTAGCATAGTCTTGTTTTAGTGATTTTTGTTAAAAATGGGTGCCTCCATAATGAGCCGCGTGATAGATGCGCTGGACCAACCCAGGGGCCAGCTTACGGTACGGTAGGCTTTATTGGGGTTGAGCTTCCATGACCAATGTTGCACATGGAGGAAAGGTGATGGCCTCTGTTTTCGCTTCTTCGATCTTGTTCT